AAAGAGCTACATAGTACTCCATTGTGTAGATGTACCAACGTTTCTTTAACCAGTCATCTGTTCTTGGGCACTCAGGTCTCTCCCAGTTTCTGGCTACTGTAAAGAGTGCTGCAATGAACAAACAAGTGCAGATGTCACTTCCGCTACACATTTTTGCCTCTCTGGGATATATTCCCAGGAGTGGTATCGCTGGGTCAAATGGGAGCTCAATTTCTAATTTTTTGAGGAACGTCCATACTGTTTTCCAAAAGGGCTGAACCAGTCGGCATTCCCACCAACAGTGAAGGAGTGTCCCTTTCTCGCCACATCCACGCCAGAATCGGTTGCTTTTGTTCTTTTGAATGTGGGCCAGTCTCTGAGGTGTGAGATGGTATCTCATTGTGGTTTTGATCTTCATCTCCCTGATGATTAATGATGTAGAGCATTTTCTCATGTGCCTTTTAGCCATTCGGATTTCTTCTTTGAGAAAGTTTCTGTTCATTTCATTGCCCCATTTTTTGATGGGGTTGGATGTTTTCTTCTTGTGGAGTTCAACCAGTATTTTGTAAATCTTTAATATCAACCCCTTGTCAGATGTTTATTTGGCGAATATCCTTTCACATTCTGTAGACTGTCTTTGTATTTGTGTCACTGTTTCTTTTGAGGTGCAGAAGCTTCTTAGTTTAAGATAGTCCCATTTATCTATCTCTGTTTTCACTTGCTCGGCCAGTGGCATGGCATCTTTGAAAATACCATTAACCTCAATGTCATGGAGGGTTTTGCCAATTTTGTCTTCAATGTACCTTATGGTTTCTAGTCTGATGTTGAGGTCTTTAATCCATTTTGATCTTACTTTTGTACATGGTGTTAGGCAGAGTTCTGAGCCCATTTTTTTGCATGTAGCCATCCAGTTCTGCCAGCACAATTTCTTAAAGAGGATTTCCTTACTCCACTTCACATTTCTTGCACCTTTATCAAAGATTAAATGATCATATGATTGAGGGGAGATGTCAGTGTATTCAACCCTGTTCCATTGGTCTGCAGTTCTGCCTTTGTTCCAGTACCATGCTGTTTTAATTATTACTGCTTTGTAGTAGAGTTGGAAGTTCGGGAGGTTGATTCCTCCCATTTTCTTTTTCCCAAAAATTGCTTTAGCTATTCGCGGGGGCTTATTGTTCCATATAAATTTCAGGAGTGTTTGCTCCATTTCTTTGAAGAATATCATCGGTATCCTTACAGGAATTGCATTGAATTTATACAATGCTTTCGGTAATATTGCCATTTTGACAATGTTAATTCTCCCGACCCATGAGCAGGGGATATCTTTCCATTTCCTCATGTCCTCTTTCATTTCCTGAAGTAGCGTTTTGTAGTTTTCTTTGTACAGGTCCTTTACTTCCTTAGTTAAGCTGACTCCTAGGTACTTGATTTTCTGGGGTTTGTTTTTTTTTCATGTAGCTTTTTTTTCATGTAGATTGTGTTTTTTTTCATGTAGATTGTTTTTTTTCATGTAGATTGTGTTTTTCATGTAGATTGTGAACAGGATTGTTTTTTTCATGTAGCTTTCCTCTCTCTCACTATTTGCGTATAGGAAAGCCATGGACTTTTGGGTAATGATTTTATAGCCTGCAACTTTACTATACAAGTCTATTGTTTCTAAGAGTTTTTTGGTGGAGGTTACTGGGTTCTCTAAGTATAGTATCATATCATCTGTGAAAAGTGAGAGCTTGATTTCTTCCTTTCCTACCTGAATGCCCTTAATATCTTTTTCTTGCCTAATTGCTACTGCAAGTACTTCCAGTACTATATTGAACAGCAGCGGAGAGAGTGGGCATCCTTGTCTCGTTCCTGGTCTTAGAGGGAATGCTCTCAGTTTTTCCCCATTGAGGATGATGCTTGCTGTAGGCTTGTGGTAGATGGCTTTAACTACGTTGAGAAAAGTCCCCTCTATCACCATTTTGGCTAGGGTTTTCATCATAAAGGGGTGCTGGATCTTGTCAAATGCTTTCTCTGCATCTATTGATATGATAATATGCTTTTTATCTTTTCTTTTGTTGATATGGTGGATTATGTTGATTGATTTCCAAATGTTGAACCATCCTTGCATCCCTGGGATGAATCCTACTTGGTCATGGTGTATGATCTTTTTGATGAGTAGTTGGATTCTATTTGCTAGTAGTTTGTTGAGGATCTTTGCATCTGTGTTCATCAGGGATATCGACCTGTAATTCTCTTTCTTTGTGGTATCTCTGTCTGCTTTTGGTATCAGTTTGATACTCACTTCGTAGAAACTGTTCGGAAGTGTTTTTGATATTTCGATTTCGTGGAAAAGCTTAAAGAGGATTGGGAGTAAGTCTTCTTTAAAGATTTGGAAGAATTCACTAGTGAATCCATCTGGGCCAGGGCTTTTGTGCTTGGGGAGACTTTTTATTACCATTTCAATTTCCTTGGTGGTGATAGGTCTGTTCAGGTATTCCAGGTCTTCTGGGTTCAGCCTTGGGAGTCTGTAGGAGTCTAGGAATTTATCCATTTCCTCGAGGTTTTGATGTTCCGTGGCATAAAGCTTCTCAAAGTACTCCCTGAGGATCCTTTAAATTTCTGTAGTTTCTGTTGTTATGACCCCCTTTTCATTTCTGATTCGGCTTATTAGGGTTTTCTCTCTCCCCTTCTTTGTGAGTTTTGCTAGAGGCTTATCAATCTTGTTAATTTTCTCGAAGAACCAGCTCTTGATTTCATTGATCTTTCGGATTGTTTTTTGGGTTTCCATCTCGTTAATCTCTGCTCTGAGTTTTATTATTTCCTTCCTCCTGTTTGGGTTGTGCTCTTTTTGTTGGTCCTTCTCCAAGCTCTTAAGCTGTGAGGTCAGGTTATTTATGTGGGCTCGCTCCTCCTTTCTGAGGAATGCTTGTAGAGCTATAAACTTTCCTCTTAAGACAGCTTTTCTGTGTCCCATAAGTTTTGGTAACTCGTGTCTTCATTTTCATTCGTTTCTAGGAATCTTTTGATTTCCTCTTTGATTTCTTTTCTAAGCCACTCGTTGTTTAATAGCGCACTGTTTAATTTCCAGGGGTTTGATTTAGTTTTCTGTTTTTGTGAGTGATTTACTTCTAATTTCAGTGCATTGTGGTCTGAGAAGATTGTTGATACAATATCTATCTTCTTAATTTTATGGATGTATGCTTTGTTGCTCAGCATGTGGTCTATCTTGGAGAATGTTCCATGTAAGCTTGAGAAGAATGTGTATTCAGCCTTTTGAGGTTGAAGTGTCCTGTATATATCTACTAAGTCCCTTTCTTCCATTGCTTCCCTCAGATGAAGTATGTTCTTGCTAAGCTTGAGTCTGGTTGATCTGTCAAGAGGTGACAAAGCGGTGTTGAAGTCTCCCCCTAGTATTGTGTTGCTATTGATGTCTTTTTCCAATCTATGAGTAGTTGTTTTAGGTACTTTGCTGGTCTCTCATTAGGTGCATATACATTTGGTATTGTAAGTTCTTCCTGTTGTACAGATCCTTTGATCAATAAGAAATGGCCTTCACTGCCTCTTATGACCTTCTTCACTCTGAAATCGATGTGGTCTGATATTAAGATGGCCACCCCAGCTTTTTTATGGGAGCTGTTTGCCTGTAGGATTGTTTTCCAGCCTTTGACTCTGAGTCTGTGTTTGCTTTGACTATTGAGATATGTTTCTTGCAGGCAGCAGAATGTTGGGTTCATTTTTCTAATTCATCCTGCCACTCTGTGTCTTTTAATTGGTGTGTTTAGCCCATTGACATTGAGAGAGATTATTGTTATGGGATTTTGACCCATTGTTCTTTTGAAATTAGGTGTATTTGAGGGGCCTGTCCTGTCTTAAAGTAGCCCATTTAGTTGTACTTGTAACCATGGTCTTGAGTCAATGAAGTTCCTGAGCTGTTGTTTTTCTGTGGAACTGTGTGTTTTTCCTTCTATTATGAATGAGAGTCTCGCTGGGTAAAGTATTTTTGGAGATGCATTTATTTCATTGAGTATTTTCACTATGTCCCACCACTGTTTTCGGGCCCTGAGGGTTTCATCAGAAAAATCAGCTGTGAATTTTAAGGATGCTCCTTTGTAAGAGATTTCTTTCTTCGATCTTGCGCTTTCAGAATTTTGTCTCTGTCTAAAGTTTTGGTCATTTTGATCAGGATGTGTCTTGGGTTTTTTTTTTGTTCGGATTTCTTCTAGCTGGTACCCTTCAGGCCTCCTGAATGTGGTCACAAGTTTTCTTCAGCTCTGGAAATGTTGTAGCAATGATGTCTTTGACAGTTTCTTCTTCATCAAGGTTTTCTTCCTGTCCCTCTGGGACTCCAATAATTCTTATGTTACCCCTCTTGGCTTCATCGCGATCTCCTCTTGCCATCTGTTCCCGAACTGTGAGTCTCTTTTCCATTTTCTGCTCTTTTCTGGCGAGTCTCTGAACTTCATCTTCGAGCTCACTGATTCTGTTCTCAGCAGCTGTTACTCTGCTGCTGAGGCCTGCCACTGAGGTTTTCAATTCGCCTACCAGGTTTTTCAGGTCTGACATTTCTGATTGCATTTTTCTCATTTCTGCCTTCAAATCCTCTTGTCTTTTATTGGCATTGCTTTCCATTGTTTCTTTTAGTTCCCTAAGCATCCTAAGTAGCTCCCTTCTGAATTCCTTGTCAGAGAGGTTGTCTAACACTACAATACTGTTGGTGTCTTCTGGGCTAGCCTCTTCAATAAGAAAGTTTGTTGGGCTTTTGCGTTGCTTTACTATTGTGACCAGTGTGGTTTAGTCCTTCACGTTCACTGTTACTATTCTGGTTGAGTGAGGAGAGAGTTCCCGGATCCGTTCAGCTTTGTTGCCGCGAGATGGGATGTTGCCTCAGTTCCCGTCCCGCTCATGTCAAGGGAAAAAACTGGCTATTCTAGGGAATCAAGCTAGTTGCGCATGCCCAGGGAGAGTCCCAAGCCGTGGGGGCAGGCTGTACCTGGTTGAATGAGGAGAGACTGCCAGGAGCCATTCAGTTTTGTTGCCGAAAAATGGGCCTCGGTTCCCGTCTGGCGCAGATCATACTGTTCCCTCTTATGGTGGGAATGGATTTTGGATCAGGTTGGTCGATGGTAGGCACCCTTCTACGTTTCTGAGTTTGACCTTCTTCTCAATCAAGCGTTATGCTTTGTTTTATAACCGACATTGAATGGAACTTTTTGAGGAGGTGCTATTTGGTACTGGGCTTATACAGCTATTTTCAAACAGGTCTTTGTTGGAAATGGAGTAGGCGAGTGGGATGTTGTTGGATTGTAGTAGAAGAGGTGGGAAATATTTGGTTGGTATTAGGCCACAAGTTGTGGGATGAGAGTTCCTGAGTGATTGATGTGAGTGATATAAGTGCGGCTGTCCACTGAGGAGAAGGCCACGCCCACATCCACTTTTGGAGGCCACGCCCCCTTCCTGGTGACCACGCCCCTAGCCGGTCCCAGGCCACTTCCACCCAGGATCCTGGAATGGAGGAAGGGTGGTGGACAGTCTTCCCGCTGGGCGGGGATGGAGGCGGGAATGGAGGTGCGGCTGGGGGGGCAGGAGCGCTTCCCGGCTGAACCACATATGTCTTTTTGAATGAATGTTTTTGCATTTGGGGCATAGATGTCAAGAAGTACAATCACAGTCAGAGATTTTATTACTTTGTTCCTCACTCTTCCTTGTTGGTGGGTTTCCTGGAGTTTGGTTTTCCTGGGATAATTATTTTTCTCTATATATAATTTCATTTAAGTGAAATACCCATTGTATTTTAAATTTTGTTTTATTTCTAATTAAATAGAAACTATGACTTTAAATGTAAGCTACCAAAGTTTTTTTTTTTTTGTAAATATTTTTGAAGAATGACCAAGAATTTTACTTCAGTGGAAAGTCAAAAGAGATTTGTGTGGAATCACATAAGTCTTAACTCAGAAGTCAAACTGAATGCCTTGGGCAAGATTTCACTGTGGATGTGGTTTCCTTAGCATCTTATTGATTTTACAAAAAGAAAATGGTTACCAGGCTTAGGTTTCAAAAACTAAATTTATCACTTCCATAAGAATGTTTAATGTGCTATGCAATTTTATATTATTATTTGTTTGTTTGTTTTAATTTTTGTTAGTGAAACACCATGCAGTAAAGTTGTAGACTTACAAGTTTTTGTGCTTGGGTTTCAGTTATACAATGATCGAGTACCCATCCCTCCACCAGTGCCTATTCTCCACCACCAATGATCCCAGTATCCCTCCCACCCACTTCCATACCCCTATTTCACCCTGCCTATGTGGCAGGGCATTCCCTTTTGCTCTCTCTCTCTCCTTTTGGGTGCTGTGGTTTGCAAAAGAGGCATTGAATGGCAATACTTTGGAATCAGTCTAACTAAAGAGGTAAAGGTCCTCAATGAAAACTACTACAAAACACTACCCCATAAAAGAGGACATGAGGAAATGGAAACATATCCCCTGATCATGGATAGGAAGAATTACATTATCAAAATGGCAATACCCCCAAAGCATTATATAGATTCAATGAAATTCCTATAAGAATACCCATGAAATACTTCAAAGAAATAGATCAAGCACTCCTGAAATTCATATGGAACAACAAACGACAACGAATATAAGCAATTCTTGCGAAAAAGACATGGGGAGGCATTACCGTCTCCAACCTCAAACTCTACTACAAAGTGGTAATAATTAAAACAGCATGGTACCAGAACAAAGGCAGGGCTGCAGACCAATGGAACAGGGTGAAATCCATACACACAACCCCAAATGTATATTATTATTTTAAAATATTTTGTTAGTGATTTCAAGTTGCCATTAAAAGAAAAAAGCAGAGGGAGATTGCTTTTCCCAGTGTTTTCCTCATGAAATGTGAAAGATTCATGAGATAATGGCTTCCAGCAATTCAATGCTTCTGGAAGATTATTTTCTACTATTAAATCTTCTGAAAGAAAAAAAATATATATCCCCAGCATCATTACTGCTATCATTATCTGAATGTCACAAATGAGTGAGTGTGTAGATTTTCAAAACTATTTTCCAGGGTCAAGCAGTGGAGAAAAGGCAAGGTTGGGAGCTGTCTGTGACTGTAGGCTTCAAGTGCTCTCAAGTGAGCTCAGATTCCTACCTAGAAAGCACAGTGCAGTATACTGGGCCCACATATTCCCAAACGAGAACAAGGAACGTACTCACCTACCCAACTTCACAGACCAGAAATGGGCGGGCATGGCCACATGCGCCTCAGTGAATCTAGACCCTTTTTATTTCATCTAGAGTCTAGAGCATTTCTTCTAGATTCTAGAGCATTTCATCTCAAGGTGGAAAAGCTGCTTCTTGACGCGGGTCCTCCTTCCTAAAAGTAGTTAACATTCCCGAGTTCCACAGGCCTGGCTAGCTTCAGGTAAAGCCTTTGATTTTGGCAATACAATGGGCATATGAAAGTTGAAATATGATTGGTTATTGCACAGCACATAATGCCTCCAAGACCCAAATTATCCCCTCATGCTTTTCAAGCGTAATTGTTTAGCCTTTCTCCATCCTCAGCACAGGAACGACCTTTTTGCATAGCTGCATTGCTCACTTGCCCTCCTGTACGCAGTAGCTTCTACTTAAGGAAATTTGTGCAACACCTGTTCTCTGTCAGTTATCTTTCCTCTCTTGTAAAGATGCTTGGATAGAAAAAAAAGTAAAAGTAAAACTAATCTTCTTCATTAAAGGTGGAGAGACTTTTAATAAAACTGGACTTGCTCTGTTCTTCAGAGGATAAGCAGAAATCTTTGAAGGATTTTCTGTCTGAGGAGTTTCCAGGGAGGAAAGGATATGATTCAATCAGCTAGTCAGCTAAGCTCATTAATTCAGGGAACTTGCTTCTAAAACAGGAATTCTCCAAATTGCTGCTCTTGCTGATCACCTTTTCTTCCGTCTCACAACTTTCAGCCTTTGAGACAAACTGCACTGTTAATTCTTTGAATAAGTTGTGCAATGGTATATTATAGTTGGCTAAAATTGTGGTATTTCACACACTTTTCAAATTGTAATTTCAATGAAAAAAACCTATGGATTGTTTTGCCCGAAACAATGTCCCCCTTCCCCCCCAACCCCCACTCTACCTCCCCTGCCAAAAATATGTAGAGATAAATGAAGCATTTCTTGACGCTGCTCTTTCCTTTATTATTCTCTTTGATGTTCTGCAAGAAAAGTGTGTATTTAACATATAGGTAAGCAAACTGTGAAGGAAGAAGCTTCCAGGTTTCTCTTTGTTGTCAATCTTTTTCCTCAAATAAACGAGTTGTTTTAATTTTACTTATTTGGCTTTAGAGCCACACATGGAAGTACTCGGGGATTATTCCTACTCTGCACTCAGGGATCCCTGTTGGCACACTCAGGAGACCATGTGGGGTGCCAGGGATTAAACTATGTGTTAGGCAAGCACCTTAGCCACTGCACAGTCTCTCTGACTCAATTAGTTATTTAGAAAAGTAATGACAGTAACAAAATATTAAATATATTAGTCAAAAAATTATTATGCTTAGAATATATTATTCTAAAAATATTCGAAGTAGAACATAGTCATGTTAATAGAATATACTTAAGAGAGTAATATTCAATAATCAGCTACATCAATTATAAAATAGTATTATGATATTGTTACCATCACTATTAGCAAGATGATCATTACCGTTACAATTTCCTTGGGGAGAAACATCAAGCAGAGGTGATTTTCCACATGGTTGGGGAGCGAGCCTAGGTCATGCCCAGAGACTGGCTCATGGACACAGTGGCTCAGGGATATCTATGGCAATCCCCAGTTGTGCTGTATTACCATGTGGTGCTGGGAATCAGACTCAGGGTCTCCCATGTGCTAGGTGTGTGCTCTATCACATGAGTTCTCTCCCTGGCCCCATTATAACTTTGAGGCAACTTGAATTCTCTTAGATTTTCCAAGTGTCTTATATAACCCCTGGGGTCTATTGTAGTCTGGTGACTAATAGTTAACAGTATAATGTTAACTGTATTATGCACTTGAAAGGTACTTAAATGTTTTCACCACATACATAATCATATAAGATAAGCTTATGAGGTGATGGTGTTGTTGACTAACACTGTGGTAATCATTTCTGAATGTAAACATATGCATATATAATAGAATCACCATATTATTAAACTTACACAAGGTTTTTTTAAAATTAATTTTATTAGTGAAACACCATGAGGTACACTTGTAGACTTACAAATTTTTGTGCTTGGGTTTCAGATATACAATGATCAAATACCCATCCCTCCACCAGTCCCGATTTTCTACCGCCATGGATCCCACTATCCCTCCCACACCAATCCCCCCCATCCCACCCTGCCTCTGTGGCAGGGCATTCCCTTTTGTTCTCTCTCTCCTTTTGGGTGTTGTAGTCTTCAAAGAGGCATTGAGTGGCAATCATGTTCAGTCCATAGTCTACTTTCAACATGCATCTCCCATCCTGGGAGGAACCTTCAAACACCCTTTATTTGGTGCTCCCTTCTCTATCTGAGCTGCCCTTTCCCCTAGAATGCCCGGCAGGCCTCTAAGCCATGGAGTAATTCTACTGGTACTGATCTCAGCTATTCTTGGGTATTAATCTCCTATTTTGTTACTTTAAGTTCCCCAGATGAATGCAATCTTTCTATGTCTATCCCACTCTTTCTGACTCATTTCGCTTAGCATGATACTTTTCATGTAGTACCACTTGTATGTGAATTTCTTGACTTCACCTTTTCTAACAGCTACGTAGTACTCCATTGTGTACCAGTGTTTCTTTAACCAGTCATCTGTTCTTGGGCACTCAGGTTTTTTCCAGATTCTGGCTATTGCAAAGAGTGCTGCAGTGGAGAAATAAGTGCAGGTGTCACTTCGACTATACTTTTTTGCCTCTCTGGAATATATTCCCAGGAGTGGTATTGCTGGGTCAAATGGGAGCTCAATTTCTAATTTTTTGAGAATTGTCCATACTGTTTTCCAAAAGGGCTGAACCAGTCGGCATTCCAACCAGTAGTGAAGGAGTGTCCCTTTCTCACCACATCTGTGTCAGCACCGATTACTTTTGTTTTTGTGGA